GGAAGAAGAGAGAGGGGTAGAGTGGGGGTGGAAGAAGAGAGGAGGTAGAGGGGGGTGGAAGAAGAGAGGGGGTAGAGTGGGGGTGGAAGAAGAGAGGGGAGGTAGATGGGGGGGTGGAAGAAGAGAGGGGGTAGAGGGGGTGGAAGAAGAGAGGGGTAGAGGGGGGTGAAGAAGAGGGGTAGAGTGGGGTGGAAGAAGAGAGGGGAGGTGGGAGGGGGAAGAAGAGAGGGGTAGAGTGGGGGTGGAAGAAGAGAGGGGGTAGAGTGGGGGGGGAAGAAGAGAGGGAGGGTAGGAGAGTGGGGGTGGGAAGAAGAGAGGTAGAGGGGGGGTAGAAGAGAGGGGTAGAGGGGGGTGAAGAAGAGAGGGGGTAGAGGGGGGTGGAAGAAGAGAGGGAGGTAGAGGGGGTAAGAAGAGAGGGGTAGAGTGGGGTGGGAAGAAGAGAGGGGGTAGAGTGGGGGGGGAAGAAGAGAGGGGGGTAGAGGGGGTGGAAGAAGAGAGGGAGGCAGAGTGGGGGTGGAAGAAGAGAGGGGGTAGAGTGGGGGTGGGAAGAGAGGGAGGTAGAGGGGTGGAAGAAGAGAGGGGGTAGAGTGGGGTGAAGAAGAGAGGGAGGTAGAGGGGGGGGAAGAAGAGAGGGGTAGAGGTGGGAAGAAGGAGGTGGAGTGGGGTGGAAGAAGAGAGGGAGGTAGAGTGGGGGGGTGGAAGAAGAGAGGGGTAGAGTGGGTGGAAGAAGAGAGGGGAGGTAGAGTGGGGTGGAAGAAGAGAGGGGGTAGAGTGGGGGTGGAAGAAGAGAGGGGAGGTAGAGTGGGGGTGGAAGAAGAGAGGGAGGTAGAGGGGGGGGAAGAAGAGAGGGAGGTAGAGTGGGGGTGGAAGAAGAGAGGGAGGTAGAGTGGGGGTGGAAGAAGAGAGGGGTAGAGTGGGGTGGAAGAAGAGAGGGAGGTGGAGTGGAGGAAGAGAGGGAGGTAGAGGGGGTGGAAGAAGAGAGGGAGGTAGAGTGGGGGGGTGGAAGAAGAGAGGAGGTAGAGGGGGGGTGGAAGAAGAGAGGAGGAGAGGGGGGGGTGGGAAGAAGAGAGGGAGGTAGGAGGGGGGTGGAAGAAGAGAGGAGGTAGAGGTGGGAAGAAGAGAGGGGAGGTAGAGGGGGGGAAGAAAGAGGGAGGTAGAGGGGTGAAGAAGAGAGGGAGGTAGAGTGGGGGAAGAAGAGAGGGAGGTAGAGTGGGGGGTGGAAGAAGGAGGGAGTGTAGAGTGGGGGTGGAAGAGAGGGGAGGTAGAGTGGGGAAGAAGAAGGGGGGAGAGGAGACTATATGTGTGTGGGGAGAACTTTTATATGGGGATGAGGAGGGGGGTGGTGGTAGTGGGGGTGTGGTAGTAGGAGGGTAGTGGGGGGGACAGACAGATGCGGTGTGGGGGAGGTGAGGGGGATAGAGGGGGGAAGGAGGAGGAAGCGTCTAGGAAGGTAATAATAAGTAATAAAGGGGGAGAAGATAAAGAGTGTCGTAGGGCGGAAAGTGATGATGATGAACTAAGAGAGAGGAGGAGGAGGAGGAGGAGGAGGAAGGAACAGGGAGGAGGAGGAGAAGGGGGGGATAGAAAGAGGAGGAGAGGTGGAAAAACACGTAATAAGGATGAAGTTGGCATATCAGGTGTCTATATATTGTCTATTTGTCTGTCTATCTATCAGTAAAAGAAACAATAAAACAATAGAACAATAAAGATAAAACAAAATGAATAATAAAACAAATTAAGTAAAGCAGAGAAACAAAAATCAAAATTAAACAATAACAAAAACAATATGAAATTATTAATAAATAAATAAAACATTAACAAAAACAATATAAAAACAATAATAAATAAATAAAAAAACAATATTAACAAAAGACATTAAATAAAAGATGAATAATTAGTCTCTATTCTACAGAACTTTTATTTAATCTTCTTTTGTATGAAGGTGTAGACATAAACATACAGCCAGACAGAAGACACACACACACACACACACGGACACACGGAAATAACGAAGCCACAAACCATGGGGAAATAAAAAACATTTTTAAACTCTGTAACGTAAGCAGGAATTAATGGGATTTTACGTGTTGTATTAAAGAGTTTTTTTGTAATTTTGTGTAATATAACTGTGATCTGGTCTTATGGTGTCCCTTTAACGTAATTATGAAGATCTATTATTATTATTCCTTAAAAAACTTTTTTATGACTTAAATATTTAGTGATTTAAGTATGACATCTCTATCACACCTTAACATCCTTTTAAGGTAAGACCAGAGCCTCTTCCATGTCCCCAAATTCACTTTAATATCTGTAGGTAAAGGTTTGGACAGACAGACGATCCGAACGAGCAATGAGTCGATGCTTCCTTCCTATATTGACATCCCGACCAGTTTTTGTTGGTACCGGACCCGAGAGAGACAGACAGACAGACAGGCAGCGACGTTGATTGTAAATACCCAGCAAGCACAAGGATAATAGTGTAAAATTAGAGCTGTGGAAG